TTCATGCAGTTTAAAAGTCCTATTCTAAAAGGAGATTATAACTGAGATAAAATATCACCCTAATTCTGATTGGAGCACCAGCAAGCTAGCTTCAGGCAGATATGAAGAATACGTAGACCAGTGGCCCTCAACCTTTTTTAAATACAAGGTACTCCTCATTAGACCCAGGGCATTCCTTGGAAACTGCTAGCTCTTGACTTCCACTCATTTTTTGACTTGGGGGAAAAATAATAGAGCAGTTCTTCTGTTGTAAGCAACTCAGACCACCACAGGTCAGGATGTTTTGCAGGGGTGGGGTTGACACTCCAGATTTCTATTTGAAAACTCTGGGTTTACCTTGTGAATCATGTAGAGGCATTTACACAGGTTACAGTGTTAATATTGCACGGAACCCTTGAAAGGATTTTGTGTCACCCTGGTTGAGAATCACTGATATAGACTGTAAGAAAATGTGTTTATACCTGCAGTGCAGTATATAGCTGTACAGGGGACAACGGTTCTAGTTACTTGGTTCTAAATCTTAGGTATTGGGTTCTAAATCACTGTCAGTGCTCATTGTCCAACCATGCTGACGCAAATCAGCATAAACTGACTTCAGTGGAGCTGTGCTGATTTGCACCAGCTGATGAGCTGGTCTCGGAGTCTTCAAGACATTTCTGCATTTTGTCAAGCCAGGATTTATTTGGTTTCCATGGAAAAGTGGTAGTGCTATGCAGCCTGGGCCCATGGCTGCACAATGGGAAATCCAAAATACTGCTATTTCCTATCAGTGGCATGTTAACATTTCTGTAGAAAAGAAAGACTGAGACTTAGGTCAGCAGAATGCAGCCAGGAATGCAGAAAGTGCGTATGCAAGAGAAATAAAAATGACTGCTGTCTCTTATATTATGGGCTGCCTCCATAGAGCACAAACTATTTCATTTGTTGGTAGTGTATTTGTGACAATTACACTGTTTATGGGCAGAACAGCCACATTCTGCAGTCAAACAATTTGCAGTGTTTTGAATGAGAGTATTGTCAGTGCCGCACTTGCAATAAAAGAAGCCAAGACACTGTAATTCAACAGAGGAGTTCTCTGGAACTCAGCACCCAAATCATGTTGTGATCAAACTTCCTTAGTAAAGTGTAAAGATACTCCTTCTCTCCTTGTTTAATTCAAAGGAGACATACATTATCAAAAATGCACAAAAATGGGAAAAAACAGTATAAGCTGGGCACTCATAAAAAATAAACATTCTAATATTATAAAAGCCTAGGTATCTGTCTGTCTGTCTGTAATGCTTTATTTGCACTCTGATTGGCTGACAGAAACAGCCAATCAGAGTGCTCCAAGCATGGGGGAGCAATGCCATGATTCTGAAGCTGCCTCCCCCACCCTGCTCCTTGCAAATGGCACCGAGGACCAGACAGGGGGTGCACTGGCCTCGGCTCCCACACCCTGCTCCCTGCAAGAGGCAGAACAGTGGCAACAAGGGGCATTAGGTGGTGGCACTCCATCTCAGCCCCTGCCCCCCTGTCATTTTTGATGGGCAATTGGCTAGTAAACATATACATGCATTATTTCACAGTCCAAGGGTTTTCAAGAGCTAGATATTGAGTTTGTTTCTCTGCAAAGATTAAACCAAGAAATGGGTTACCTGAACAGAAAGGGAATGATCTGCCAAAAAGAAATGAAGGGTCATATATTTAATTTGCATGTGTAATTACTGCTTTTGGATGGACAAATAATGAATGATGTCTCTCACTGCCAATCTCCTATACAAATAGTCTTATTTCATATACAGTCAAAGCAGATATCCCTGTGTGTGTGCACATGTATATGCATGTGCATGTGCTATGGAAAATAACTAGACCCCAGGGGCACAGAACAGAAATACATCAAACTATAATACAGCCAAACTGTAACCAGAGCTGTCCCTAGGAGCATATGGGACCCAGGGGCATATCAGCCTGTGTGGGGCTAGGGGGTGGTGAGTGGTCGGAGCGCAGAGCTGGAGGCACATGGCAGTTGCGGCGGGGCCTTTACAGCACTGTGTGCGGGCCCCCCAAAGCATGGGGCCCAGGGTGGTCCCCCGATTTGCACCCTGCTAGAGACAGCCCTGACTGTAACCCAGCCTGTGATAGGTAATATCACCCAGTGTTAGAGGAACTTGGCTAGAGCTCCGAGGAGCTCAGTTCTATATGTGGCTCTGACCATATCATCAGGCATGACCTTGGGCAAGTCATTTCACCTCTGTGCAGCCGATTCATCACTGCCAGCCCTGAGGCATCTCTGATGATGCATTTACACAGGTCTTAACACAATGAAGCCATACTCTCACTGTTCTAAGACAGAGAGAGAAATACAAATAATACTAATAGCCAAAAGGCATGGATCTTTGCCTCATGAAATTCCACTGCCTTATTAGCAGGTTTTATAAAGTTTCTTCTGAGTGCCTGGTTGGCTCTCAGGAATGAGAGAAGGCCACAAAACTTTAAGGAACTCAATAATTCTCAGGAAAAATTGGGTTTTAATCAGCTGAATTTCCATTTTGTCTCCCCACATCCCCTCTTCCAAAATTAAGAACTTTCTAGCAGGTCGCTCCTTTTCCATACAGCTGCAATATTAGTCCTCTGTTTATAAAAAATGAGAATCAAATAAGACTTATAATATTAGTATACTCCTTTCACCATTAGGTGGTGATATTGCAGCAGTTGAGATGGATCTGGAGGGTTGCCCTATTAAAATAATTTTCTTTTCTGTCACTTTGCAACCAAGTATGAATATTTAGTTTTTTATTACAGTAAAGATCAAGTGCCACACAACTGAAGGCAATCATCAAAATACTGCAAATATTCTTAAGGCTATGTATCTGAAAACTATTTTGGTATAAAGATTTAATGCTCATTTAATGTTGTACAGGACACACTGGGTGCATCTACACAAGATGCTAAATGCTCAGTAGCCTAATTCTACTGCGCATTAGTACATCACGGCAAAAGCCATACTAGAATTAGTCTATTGCACATTAGCGTTACTAAAAAGGCATGCAGCGGTGCTACTGCTTAGTCGTGCCAATTACTGCCCATTCAGTTAGTACCTCTTATTACAGGCACTAAACATAATGTGGAGTACCTATGGTGCATTAATGCACATGTAGACATGTCCAATGCCCACTGTCTTTTATAGGTCAACAGGCTCTGAAATGCTGCACGACTGCCGTACATCTTTAAGAATAGTAAATTAATATAAATTCAGATGTAGGGGGAAAATATCTGCTATTTGCATTGGGACTTTTGCTCATAGTGCATGTTTCTATAAGCTGTATAAGACAAAGCACAAGGTTGGGTGAAAACCCGAGGAAGCTAGTACCAGCTAAAAGTTATGAGGCAGAGGTGCCACTGATCTGAAATGTTCAGAAATATACTGACTTTCACAGCTGTAGCCAGGATTGTTTGTATTATTGGATGCTGACAATGCTTGGAAATCCATGACAGGATCAGGCTTTGGGTATACAACTGGTGATACTTTAAAAGGGTCTGATTTTCAAGGAGTGCTGGGTACCTACTCTCTGAAAATAAGGAGGTCTATGGTGTGTCTTGGCAGGCACCCAAAAATGAAGGCACCTGAAGTGTTGTCATTTGAAGATTTCAATGCAAGTCTCATGATACTTGGTACTTTTCTTAAAGTCCCAGCACCTACATCCAAGTGATCACATGAGAATCCAAGCTTTCAGTCAAATAATCCAGCTTTAAAATTAGGTTTGTGGCCATTATGGTTGCAGAGAAAAGCCTGAAAGCAAGAAACAGCTGGACTGTAAATAAAGGCTTTGAAGTGAGAAGGCAAAACTTGCCCCAAAAAGTGGTTAAAAAAACCGGATGGATTTCATGATTTAAGCCAATCCCATGCTTTTGATGAGCTTGACTCTGTTTTAGGGAGCTCTTGGAGTTGGGAGTCACAGGAAGATCACCAGGTGGGCCAGTTGTGGAGGGGCTGGCTTTTGGGACAAAGAGACACAGAACAGGAAGGGCCCCCTCAGACCAGCCCCTTGGGTTTGTGGGCAACCAGTCATCCAAGACGGGTTGCAAGAACATCCGCTGTAGCCTCTCTGTTACACCAGTCAAAAAGCACCTGATTTAAACGAAGAAGTGGGCTGGGAAATGTGCAAGGAGGGGGCTACAACGCAATGTAGGAGAAGCAAGGAGTTCTTAGGATGATATCTTTTATTGGACCAACTATATAGTTGCAATAAAGCTAGACAGGCTTTTGAACATAAGACATGGGGAGTTTTTTGCATTCAAAAGTTTGTCTTACTTTATCGCAACTACAGAGTTGGTCCAATAAAAGGGATCGCCCCAAGAATTCCTTGCCTCTTGCATGATTTCTGGGCTATTGTGGCTACAAACAACATCATTCTTGCACCGAAGAGACAAGAGCACCCCTAACACTTTGGCCAAACTCCCTGACAAGACTTGTGAATTTCAGCATCCACCGGATTTAGCTTTGCTGAAAATGACCTATGTGGTGGCAGTCTCTGTCTGCTGCAAGGCCTAGGAAATCATTAGGTATAAGAGCCTCGGATGAGCCTAAAAAGTGGTTGCGGCTCTGCACAACAGTGCCCACGGCCCGGGCCCAATTGACCAAAGAGAGATGTTGTTTTCCGAGGCCAGGACTCGAACATGCGACCCAGAGGGACGCCCGAGCGGCCTCGCCCCACCAAGCCCAGGCAAGCTAGCGCCCCACTGCGCAGGTACCGCCGCGGGACCCTGCACAGAAAAGCAGCCAGGAGCTCGCTGCGGTCCCGGCCGGGGGGCGGGGATGGAGCCCCTCGCCCGGGATAGGGTGGCTCGCAGTGAGTGACAGGGAGGGGGCGGGGCCCGCAGCCCCTCGCTCGGGATAGGGCGGCTAGCAGTGAGTGACGGGACGGGGCGGGGCCCGGCGCGCAGCCTTTCGCCCGGGATAGGGCGGTTCGCGGTGAGTGACGGCGACGGCGCATGCGCTCCGAGCTGCGCGGGGCGGGCCGGGGACCCCATAAGCAGCGCGGCGGGGAGTGGCTGCAGTCAGACTGCGTGCGGTCCGGGAGCTGTCCGACATGGACGCGCAGAAAGTGAGTCACTCTCCCCCCGCCGCTTACGGGCGCTGCAGGGGTCTCGGGGCCGCTGCTCCGTACCCAGCCCGCGGGGGCTGTCTGGGGTGCGGACCCGGCGGCAGTGCTGGGCATCCGGGCCCTGCCGAGGGGGCGCGGGCGGCATGGCGCGGCCCAGTCCAGCCCGGCCCGCGGTTTTCTCCCTTTGGAGGGGAACGGGATGCTTTGCTTGTAGGCCGGGGACTCGCCTGTGTTACTCCGTCCAGAATCAGACGTGCCCGCCGGCTTGCTCATTCCCACGTGAAGTGTTTGCCAGCACAATAAACCGTGCAGGAAACAGGTAGAAGGTGCTGGTCGCTAGTTCTGCTGTCCCGTCCCTAGAGCTGCGTGTCTTTTCTGCAGAGTTGTCCAACAACATCTGACTGCTTTGTGCGTCTTGGCAGAGCCTCCGGTGCTCTCCTGTCAGTCGCTTCTACACCTGGGTTAAGGTTTTGTCTACAGTTTGGGGGGAGCATCTGCACTACTGCAATCCAGCCGTGTGTGTCTCCTGGGGCAGCGGTTCTCAGCTTGGCTTGTACCGGGTGTCATTAGTAAACATCAGTGGCCGGCTTTTACTAATATCAAGTAGTTGCTTCTGATCTTTTCTTCTAGCCTCCACTTACTGCGTGGTCCTTTTCTGCATCTTCATCTGCTGATCAGTCTTCCAGGATAGCCTTTCAGTGTCCACAGGATTTAGGTTTGCTAAAAATGACCTGTGTGGTGGCAGTCACCCTCTGCTGCAACTTGGCAAAGCTGTGGACAGTCACAGAAATGTCACAGCTGCCTGCCAACTTGAACTAGATTGGTTTGTTTTTTTTCCACTTGGTGTTTGGAAGGGGACAGTGGCTTGAAGCTTCATTTTCTAAAAAGAGCATACAGTATATGCTGCCAGCGTTCATGCAGTAAGCCTTCTTTCCAGGGCAAGCTATAAGCATACTTCAGGTTTGAAAATCTTGCAGAAATGTGACTTGGAAAACATGGAAGTCTCATGGTGGTTTATGGAATGTTAACTTATTCTCTTATTATGTGCCGCGCCATCCTTAGAGGAAAGAGTACATGACACTTAAACCATCTTGGCATTAGGTGAAGAGGGGCGCTTTGAACATTAACAAATGCATGCTAAATTTTAGTATAGATGAAGGGTTTAACTCGGCCAGGTGTATTTTAAAACTAAAACTACATTGTTTACCTTGATGTTAAAACAACTATTGTTTGTATGTTTTGTGTTTTCTGTAGAACTTCAGCAATACTGCTCCGCAGTGTAGAAAGCGGTATGAAGTCCATAGGCTACTACTAACCTTTAACATGTTATGTCGTGGGGAAAACAATTTTGCCATGTCTGCTATTGTATACATTACCTATGAAATCCGAGTTGTATAAAATAATTCACATTTGACTTGACACTCATGAGCATTAGTATACTATTCAGTAGTAGTAAATGTGGTTCTCAAATTTTAATTGCGACTTATTTTCATGATTAGACTTGATAGATGGAAAACCTGTCTAAACCTTGTCTTGGGGCTTGTACTAATTGAGACTAAGCCTACTGGCCAGAGAAATTGCAGAACTGAAGGAGCATAACCAGAGAGATTTGAGAGGGTACCTAATAAGCAACACTGCAACCCTCTGTTAAATAGTGGTGTCCCCACCACAGGGAATTTCCTTAGTCTTCATTGCTCCTTGGGTCACTCTCTTTACAGAGTAAATCCAATGTAAATTTCCTTTACAGTCTGAGTTGAAACTGTAGACAGCAGAAGAGGAACCAATGGAGATGAAAATAAATGCACCACATTCCATCTTGTATTTCACTACTCAGTTGGAAGATGCTTTGCTTGGAAAGCATTTTACAAGAACTTAACTTCTGTTAAAATGATTTAGGCCCTGGAATCTGCTAGGCAAAAACTCTATTTTTGTTGCTGTTGAATTTTTCTGGCCTACTCTCTCTTGCCATTGTATAGAAAATATGGGTAAGGTCAAATTTAGCAAGAACTTTCTTTGAGCAGGAAGTTAACTTTAGGCTTTTAAAATATTTATGTACTTTTTCTGATGGGCTCTTGGATAACTGATTGTTCCTGTAACTTGAACTTTATAATTGGTGGCATAATTTCCTTTGTTTCTGAAGGAACACATGTAGCTTGCAAGTAGAAAATAATACTGGCTGTTAAACTTATTTGAATTTTAGGAGTGGCTATAAAAAGCCTTCTACTTGTCAGTTAGAAATAGACCTATGCCCCAGACAGACCTTACTGTACATGGCCCTAAAATGTTTTTTACCTACAGGGTTTTTACTTGGAACCAGACAGGGTTTAATAAAACCAAGTCGGCATAGGATTATAGCTTGTCTACCTTGTTATAATTGACAGTTATGCTTATAGGATCTCGGGCTTAACTGTGAGCTGTCTGAAACACAAGCACAATTGCTTCTGGTCAGTAATGAATGGGAAAACAGTTGGACAGATAAACAGTCTGAAGAAATAACTGAAAACAACTTTGTTCAAAATATTGGGTATAATGCACTCCAGTGTAACTAGGCAATGAGGACACTCTCATTTTAGACAAAACTGTAGAAAACCTTTGTGAAAGAAATATTAAGGAAACAGTGGATCCTGGTACATTTAAATTTAGGTATAACTTCATAATAGCATTTGACTCTAGTGAGTTAAAAAATAAAGATGAGCAAAGTATCTGCAGGTAGCTTTTGTATTTATATAGTTACCAATCCAGACTGATCAGGTACCTCTTCCCTTATGCAGTGGCAAACTCTTCCAACTGTGAAGCTTGGAGGACTCCTCTATTTTAAGAATATTTTGGCTGGCAACCAGGGAGTTATGGATATCTTGCTTCCTATTCCATTAGAGCACAGAGCAGTACTATGCGATTGTATCAGGGAGGTATGCTGATAGACTTCAGTTCTTGTCTTGTCCTATAGTTTTGTGTGGTGGGATGTCCTAGGATTTTTTTTTTTCTGGGAATTGGAGAACTATCAATAGTGTGGTATTATCTGCAGTGGTGCTACGAAGTGGATGGGGCTCCAGCCTGAGTTTGGCCCAGCTCTGGTGTAAACCCATAACCTTCAACCAACTTGGTGAACGTGCATTCAGAGCACACACAAACATGTACTTATAGGTGGAAGGGGCCTGAAGAAAAATGTATAACAACATGGGTTGAGTCTACCAGGTAGACATACCGTTGTGTTGGTAGGTTGTTGGACTTTAGGAGGTTTCTAGGGCAGTAAAACCTTCACTACTTGTCAGATCAGCACACTTTCTTTTGACCAAAAGGAACACAGGAACATTTCCTTCTAAGGGTTCTCTGGCTCTTCTAGGGTCTGTTTGATCAGGCAGCCAGCGGCAGCAGGAGCTTGTGGCGGAGCAGCAAGGCCAGCTCTGCTTCACCCTGCCCCCAGCCTCCCCCCCC